TGGCCGGTGGCGAGTTTGTGTGCCCCTTCTCTTCCCGACCTCCGCCCCTGCGAGCCGGGAGCCGCCCGGCACCAGCGCAGGCTCCGCGCAGCGGCGCTCCCAGGCCTCCCCCGGCGCTTGGAATTTCGCTGCCCGCCGTCCCCCGGCCCCCGCGCCCCCTGTTCCCCGCATCCACGTGCACGCGGCTTATTTCAAGGCGGGCAGTGGAAGTTGGGATGTTGACAATTTAGTACTTTTGGAGGGTGAAGAGAAAAGCTGCCTCTTTTTAGGCCCACTTGAAATCCAGATTCCAGAATCACTGTGGCGCTTTGTGAGGCCTATGGAGGTGACGGAAAGGAAGACACTGATCGCTGGTTTTATTGTCATTTTCAAACTGCTGGTGGGCATCCCCTACCCCACTTCCCAGGGCGCAGACAAGTCTGGCTTGTGTGGTGTGAACGCTGCCTCCTGGGGGGTCCCCAAATATGCTTCAGCGTCCCTGCCACAGGCCCTGGCTAGTGTTGGCCACCAGCTCTGCCTGACCACACTGTCTTACCCCAGGCTAACTTCATCCGCCTCCCCAGCCAGCCCCATTCTCTCGCAGATGCACCTCTTCAGGCTGGAAACCTACTTGCCCTGTTATCAGGATTTCACTGTCCTGGGCTGGCCTGGGCCTCCACCACTCGCCCACCACTGGGTTTTGTTGTTTCCCAGTGCTGGGGAGAGAACCCAGAGGTGCTCTATCTGAGCTGTAGCCCCGGCCTTTTTACTTTTTATTTTGAGATGATAGGGTCTCGCCTTATCCTCGTGGTTGCTCAACTTGGAATTCTCAGCCTCAGGTGGGCTTGGGCCACCAGGCCAAGCCCCCACCCCCAAGTCTAATTGTAACACTTTCTTCTTATTCCTGAGCTCCTTGCTTTGGAGGAGAGGACACAGCCCGGCAGTGGAAACCATCAGCAGGCTGTTCTAGTGTTGTCAGCAGATCTGCGATGCCCACTCTGTCCTTTGCTGGACACAGTGGTTTACACTGGACAGAAGCAGAGGGGAGAGGAGGAAGCAGAGACTGTCCTCAGGCATTTCTCTCTAGCTCTCCAGACCCCCTCTGAGCAGGCGCTTTGCTTGACAAGTGGGTGACTAATTGTGTCATTGGAGTGGCTTCTAACCAGCCCTGGGGAAGGTGGAGTATGTCTGAGCTAATCGGAGGCCATGATGCTCTTGCAGGGGGAGGCTGGATACCTTACCCAGTTAATGGCAGGTGGGGCTTAGACTTGCCGCCGTATGTATTATATTTGTTCCCATGTTTGGGACTCCTGCCTCACTCGTGGTCTCATGGGACTATTCTCAGGACATCACTGGCTCTCTATCAGCCCTACTTATGAATTGATCCTTTATCACCCAGCAGTAGGTTCTAGACTGAATGCCAATGTCCTTTGATGGCACACAGTCGTTTCCTGTCCTGTGGGATACAGCTCTTCTTTAACTTTCCACAGGGCTTTTGGGCTGTCAGCACATATGATATGTAATGTGGTGGATTCAATAGTGTTGTGGAATTAGGGGCCCTCAGCTGGATGAGGTGGTGCCTGGTGCCGGCCTGTGATCCCAGGCTGAGGCAGGAGGATCACAAGTTCAAGGGAAGCCTCAACAACCTAGTGAGACCCTGTCTCAAAATAAATAAAAAGGGGAGAGGTTGCAGCTCTGTGGTAGGATGCCCTTGGGTTTAGGCTCCAGTGCCATTAAAAAAAACAAAAAGGAAATAAAAGTAGGGGTCCTCATATAATTTGCCCCTACCTGGGTGGATGCATATTCTCTGAGGTCCACTGTGTGTCTTGAAGGACAGTATACAGTGTGAGCGGACCTGATGCCGGCTGCCCTGAGGAAATCCACCTTGTGGAGAGTTCCCTAAGTCGTCTTCCTTATTGAGAGGTCTGGTCCCCTTTGGATTCAGGGCCCCAGCCATTTCTGAGCTGACCAGCTCCCCTCCTGCACGCGGTCCTGGATCAGGACTGGCCCACACCTGTGTGTCCTCCCCACCCATCCCAGGAGTGGAATGAACTGAAGCAGCTGCTTAGAAATTGTCTCGAAATTGACTTGGACATTTCCAAAGGTTTTCTGTTCTGATGAGGAGGAGCTGCTTAGGGGACAGTTGGGAAGAAGGCCCCTTGGGAAAATAACACAAGGGGCAGGGGACAGGGGCAGCCTCCTTTGGGCTCCCTAAGTGAACCCAGAGAGAAGGGCTGGAGGGGCAAGGGCACCCCACCTGCTGTTAGCCCAGAAGTCACTGCCCAGGAAGGGAGGGAGAGGCACGCTCAGCCCTGCTCCTGGGCTCCCCCCCTCCCTCCCTCCCTCTTCATTTTCCATCAACTGCTTCCCTTCTAATCCAATCCTCTTCTTTCCCAGCAAGGCTGGGGCAGTCTGGGGCAGCTGCTGCCTCTGACTCACAAAGCTGATTACTGAGAAGGCTCTGGAGCCCAGGGTAGCAGCCAGCCTTCAGCTGCTGCTGCAGATCACTCCCGACAGCACCCCCCGGTGCTGGGCGCCCTCCACAGGACCAAGTGGCAGGAAGGGACCATTTATGGGCTGAGGCCCTGAGCGTCAACTGAAGAACTGGAGATGGAATCATTGCAGCCCAGACCAGCAGCAGGGAGGGCCTC